ATAAATGAATATCATTTAATGATAATTTCTTTGAGAGCTTTGTGCTATATTACTCAGCATATACAAAAGAATGACAAATAAGTTACATCTGTCTTCAAAGAGTTTGTAGCATTGGGTGGGTGTTATATACTGTAAATGGTTTAGCAAAGCCATGTAAGGAAAATCTATATTCATTATGACTACAAATAATCTTGTTTTAAATGAACATCAACAACAAAAATCTACCACAAACAAAATTGTTTAGATTCAAAAAACTTCATGTATCTTTTTTCCTACATGCAGGATGGAAAGCATGAAATACTGCCTACTAATTGCAATTACAGTAACAGAGATGATTTGCAAACTATGTCTCAGGCTTTATAGTAAAGGTCAGAATACATTAAACATCTTAGATATAATTTTTTAATCTTTATTTATTTATTGGTACAGGGTCTCGCTGCACAGCTTAGACTCATAGTGATCCTCTTGTCTCAGCCTCTCAAGTTCTGGGATTACAGGCATATGCCTCCATGCCCAGTTTTGGTGGCTGGCACTGTGTCCCAGGGGTTCTGGAGCCAGCAGGCATGTGCTACCGGGGATCAAACCTGGGTCCATGTGCTTGCCAGGCAGGCATTTAGGCCACCGAGCTATCTCCCCAGCCCCAGATATCTTTTAAGTGGATCATTACATGGTAAATTTTAGAATTATTAAAATGTAGGTTTTACTTTAGAATCAAAGAAGCTAGCACAACATAAATTGTACCAGAGTTTCAGTGTAGCACTGGATATGCTTTCACAATGGTGTGTAAAGTTTACTGACTAAGTAGTGTCCTTATTTATTCTCAGGAGTGGATGCATTAAAATAGAAATTTTGGGGTCAGGGAGATGGCTTAGTGGAATAAGCACTACTCTGGCAAGCGCAAGGGCCTGAGTTCAATCCCCAGTTCTGCCAAAAAAAAAAAAAAAAAAGAAAGAAAGAAAATAGAAGTTTGTCCACTCTGGAATTTGATAACTAAAATCTATATTTCATAAAACCATACAATAACACCTTTTCTCAAAAGATATTTTGTAAGTTTCTGGAGAGTTTTTTAAAACAAATTCCTGAGAACAGAAAAATAAAGGTCTAGATGAAATATTTTTCCAGGAGAGCCTTTAATCTATAAGGAATAAAATTCCTACTAGACCTTGACAGAGAAGGGATGTGCTCTTGAATCAATTTTTCTGTGTCCTCCTGCTTGTGTTGAGTATCTCTGTAGTCTTTATGTTTGTTTGTTTTGAGATTGGGTCTCACTGTGTAGTTCAGGCTGGCCTTGAACTCACTGTGTGGCTCAGGAGGCCTCAAACTCACAGCCATCTTTCTTCCTCAGCCTCCCAAGTGCTGGGATGGCAAAAATGCACCACTATGTCCAGCTTGTTTTTCCTTAGTTATCAGTTCTAATAACATACACAGCCACAGAATAAATAAAACATTCGGGTGATGAAAAAATGAATTTTTAGTTTTATTATGAATCAAATAATCCCAGAAAACCATCCAGACTAATTAAAGTTACTTAAGGTGTTGAGCATAGAACTGATTTATAACTTAATGACCATTTGTCCTATGTGTAGTATTTTAGCAAGTATGACTGACATCATCGCTATTCTCTTGCTACTGATGGTAGCAGAACAATGAAGCACAATAATTGTTTAAAAATCTTGCTCTCTTGAGCTTATATCTTGGCCGTATTTACAGTGCGCCCTCCTTCCTATGGACCAACATGCTGATTCATCCATTAGCTGTCAAATCATCACTCCAGGCACTGGACTGGATGATAACACAAAGGAGGCCGAGTTAGGCAACCATAATTTACATAGTGTTCTGGGAAAGTGTCGTACAATGTGTTAGAGTTGAGTCCTTTGGGCAAACTAACTTCTGAAGAGAGGAGAAATGCATAATATTTATTTCAGGTGACTGTGTTCCTCAGCTTTTGTTTTGCTAGAGACAATAACCAACACTCCAAACTTAAATTTTTTTTTTTTTTAATCTTTTACTCACTGATTTGGTACAGGGTCTCACTATGCAGCTAAGACTCCTAGTGATTCACCTGTCTTAGCTTCCCCAGCTCTGGGATTATAGGTGTTCACCATCACACTTGGATTTGGTAGCTGGCACATCGCGCCTGAGTTCCAGGGCCAGTGTGGCATGCGGTACTGGGGATGGAACTTTCCAGGCAGGTGCTTAGTTCACTGGGCTATCTCCCCAATCAACACAACTTTTAAAGACAGAGAGGTTTAATTTGGCTTTTAAGGGGTGTCAGTCTATCATCAATCAGCTCTATAGCAGAAACAGCAGAGTAATGGATCAAGCGAAGCTGCTCAGCTCATGGTGCCCAGGAAGCAGAGCCAGAGAGGAAGGGGTCAGGGACCAGCCCTAGAGCCCACACTCCCACCTCCACACCCCACCAGATGTTTCCAGAAATGTGCTCTATTCAACCCTGGCCCGACCAAGTCAGCTCCTCAACCCTGTGCACAGGTGAAAATTGTGTAGTCTCACTATCAAGGAAGAGGACAATGCATGACAGATTGTAGCGGCCTTTGCCTGGGCACCCATCACTATTGCCGCACAAAACTGCTTCCTGAAAGGTAACAGGTAGCAAACAAGTTTTTATAAGGTCTCTAAGGGACTTGGATGTCAGCAGAGAGAATAGGAAGGGTAGATGGGAAGTATTAAGCTGGTAAGATTCCAGAGAAAAATCATCTACAGACTATATATTGTTTTAATAGAGCTGCTATGTTAAATTATCACAACTCTGTGGCTTAAAACAACAGCAGTCTGTCCTGTTACAGTCCTGGCAGTTGGAAATCCAACATCAAGCTATCAGCAGTGTCATGCTCTCTCTGAGGCTCTTGATAGGATTCTTATCTTTTCCTGATTTCTGCCTCCTCTCGTGGGCATTCCTTGGCTTACAGCAGCATCGCTAAATGCTGTCTTGTAGCTGCACGGCTGTCTCCTCTGGGTTCCTGTGTGCACATATTATCTTTCTCTACTCGAAAGGAGTTCTGTCGTGTTGGATTCGAGCTCACTCTAATGACCTCATCTTAACTTGATTCCACTTACAAACACTTTGTCCAAAACTAGTCACTGGGTTAACTTAATGTTACTCTATCAGATACCTAAGTAATCAATGTGGAAAGAAAAAGTGTTTATTTCAGCTCATGGTTTCTGAAGCTATTTGCCATTTGTATCTTGTCTTAAATTCAGTGTAAATTATTTAATTTAAAATCTATTTTTTTACACACTAACAATTATAGTGTTATTTTATCGAAGATTAAAATCAATATATTACATGATAAAGATTGTACACAGGTGTACCAATCATGAGAAATACCTAAAACTGTAGAAGATAAAAATATGAACACACAGGGTGTGTACACACACATACTTACATAGGATTAAAGACTCTCCCCTCAAAGATGGCAGACTGATATAATTTATTATTAGCCCATTATATTTTTTCACATTCAGGAACATACAACGTGATGATCTGCCTGATGTAAATGGGTTAGATTTTGTTATCTATTTTGCTTGTAGGATATGGGAAATATTTCAATCCAAGTTGTTTAACATATATTTTGGAAAAGATAGAATTTTTCAGGTTTTACAGACATGCAACTGTGCTTAAAATTTAGTCAAAACAGTGACAGTAGCCAGCAAGATAGCTCAGCGGATTAAAGCACCTGCTTTGGCAAGCACAGGGACCATAGTTTGATCCCTGGTACCACATGCCACACCAGCCCAACCCTGCACCCAGGGTGGGCTGAGCCAGTCACAAACAAACAAACAAACAAACAAACAAAGGGGGCCAGCAAGATAGCTCAGCAGACTAATTACCTGCTGAGGCAAGCACAGGGAACAGGGCTTGATTAGGGAGCAGGGTGCAATCCTTGGCAACGCATGCCATGTGGCCCCAGCCCCAGGTGCACTGAGCAGGCCCCTGAGACCAGGCGTGGTGGTACACACCTACAATCCAAGAGCTGGGGAGTCTGAAAACAGGAGGATCACTGTGAGTCCAAGCTGTGTGGTGAGACCCTGTACCAAATACATAAATTAAAAAATTACAATTAATATTATTTTAAAACAAAAATTATTACTGTTTTCTCTTGATTGTGATTTATTTATACCTGCCCAATTATAGTACCACAACACAAGAACAGATTACAAATCCTAAAAATAAATACATTAGAAATGATACAGAATTTCTGAAACCAAGATGATATGAGTTCAACAGTGGTTATTATGTTGCATGTTGCTCTCTTGAAAGTAGTTTTTCAGATTGCCAGATACAGGCATGCAAAATTGGTCAAAAAAAATATTAAGTGTTGGACTGGGGAGATAGCTCAGCAGCCTAAGCACCTGCCTGGCAAGTGCAAGGATCCAGGTTTGATGCTTGGTATCACATGCCGTGCTGGCCCGGAACCAGGTGTGGTGGCATATGACTGTAATCCCAGAGCTGGGGAGCTTGACACAGGAGGATTACTATGAGCTTCATAGTGAGATCTTGTGCCAAATAAATAAATAAATAAATAAATTATTAAGCATTAATTGTTCCTCTTAATAAACCATTAGAAACTGCAAATAAAATTTTCTTAGCTATCTTGTATGCATATGTATATATTTTTCCTCTTTCTTTTTTGTTTCTTCTTTCCTTCATTGCAGAGAAAACAATGTTTCAATGAAAACAAATGCCTTTGTATGCTTTATGTATTTACAGCAATTAGATTTTTAAATTCATCTTCTTAAAAGGTAGACTCCTGGTGTTACTGTAGAACCCACCCCCTCTTCTCTCTGGCTAGTACGCGTCATTCAGGAGTATAAAATGAAGGCATTTGTCAGTGTGGAGACCCATCACTCTTAAGAATGCTTGAGATGGTTTAACTTAGGGGACTGAGGTGGACTGTTGCAGAATAGCTTTAAGGAAGATACTTTGGTTGTGCTTGTCATGTAAAGATTCTGTAACGCCTGTGTATCTTTTGTCTTTGCAGTGTGTGCGGGAACAGAGAATAAGCTGAGCTCTCTCTCGGACCTGGATCAGCAGTACCGAGCCTTACGAAAATACTATGAGAACTGTGAAGTGGTCATGGGCAACCTGGAGATCACCAGCATAGAGCACAACCGGGACCTGTCCTTCCTGCGGGTACAGCCCTCTCTTTGTCCTTTCTTTGGGAGTTGGCAGTGATGCCATGAGGTAGAAAAGGGAGGCTGGCTTGCTTGAACAGGGTTAGCTGTGTTCTTCCTGCCTGGTTCTGTGATGGTAGGCAGAAGACAATAATACTCAGGAGAAGGACAGGTGTGACATTGATGTGAGGAGCGACCCCAGCCAGGTGTTCAGCAGTTACTGTCACTGTGAGACAGGTAGTGTTCCGTCAGGGTGTAGTATATGATATTGTGCAAGGCTCTGAGGATCTTTCAGATAAGAACTGGTGACTTTAGCCATCCATCTCCTTTTTGACCATATTTTTTATCAGTTTAGATTTTTTAGACTATATCATATTAGCATCAGGAAAGTGTTTCTAAGAGGGGTTCTATTTTAGAAAGCATCTAAATGATTTAACATAGATGCATGAGAACTCACATGCATTTATATAGGTAGATAAATGTATACACACAAGTGAGTAGGTGTGTATGTGACATTGTTCTGAGACAACCAGTCCTTCGGGAAACTTCTTTGTGTGCTTGTTGGACCTCAGGCTGGTAGCAGGATGTTAGTGCTGATGCCCGTAATTCAAGTTCTGTATTCCTGCAGCAGGTAGAGGAAGTTCTGAATTTCAAAGTCACCATGGCAAAATGAGATTAGGATGTGGCCTTTGCACTGTGGGAATTTACTTTCATACAAAAATTATTATATGTGTTTTAAACAGTAGTACCCATGGAATTATATGATGTTTGTTCAATAGTGTTTAAATACTTTTGAAGGAGAACTGGCTTACATAAATCAGGATGAGGTGTTCCAAACACTGATAGAATAAAGTATTTAAGAGAGAGTAAATTATTTAAAAAGCTATGATAGTCTTAATATTTCTTACCATATAAGAGTAGGAAAATGCTATTTGAATGTTTTGACTATGAAAAATACATCTAGAATGAGTGGTAACCAGAAAATGGGCCACTTGAATAAAGGGACACTGTTTGACTTGAGATTTCTAATTTTAAAATGACATATTAGGATTAGTTGGCTAAGTGAAGGTAAATTTTTATCCTATTACTCGCTTCATGTTTAGTAATTAGGATTTTTCATTGTGTAAACTTTGTGTATCAAAGTAGATAGTAAAAGTTGCTTGAGTCTTAGATAGTATGTTAATACTTTTGGGGAAGGTGCTGCTGGTTTTAAAAAGGAATACATAGAAGGAATTTGATAACATATGTAAGAAATTCAAAGGCATTCTTAAAAATGGAAAACTAATGGAGAATGCTGAATTATGAAGAGGAGAAATGAAATAGTTTATATGGTCTGTAGATGATGACAATATGAGAAAATATTTTCAAGTGCCATCAGCAGATCTTCAACATCCTTGTTAGGTGTGCTTTGTTTTGTTCACTACACACAGAAGTAGATATCAACTTCCAAAATAGTTGCAAATGTTGTAAATGACAGTCTTTACATTGAGTGACATTGAAATGTCTCATACCTTTTATTATTCTTATAATCATATGAAATAAAAAACTAGAATACTTAAAGTTATAGCTTAATCAACATGTAACACATAACGTGAAAGTAGTATTTGGATATTTGAGTAACACAGTCTTATGTTCATGGCAATCTAACATTTCTAGAAATTTGAACTAAAAATATTAGACATTAGAATGAACAGACTGGGCCAGCCAGCTAGCTCCACAGATTAAAGTTCCTGCTTAGGCAGACATAGGAATGGGAGTTCGATCTGTGGTGTGCCATAATGGCCCTGCCCCTGAGGCAGGCTGAGACAGATTGAGACTGGGCGTGGTGACGCACATCTGTAATCCCACCTTTTGGGAGGCCAAAAACAGGAGGATCACTATGAGTCTGATCTGTGTAGAGAGACCATGTAGAACCTATACTAAATATATAAAATAAATAAATAACTCATAGTTTAAAAAAAAAAGAATGAACATATTTAGAAAAAATAAAAGAAGCATAACAGGAACAGCTTTAACTGGAACAAGAAATGAGCTGTCCAGTAAGTAACTGCTGTTTCCTAATTCAAGTCTCTAAAAGTTCATATAAACTGAACTGACTCACATATGCATATTGTCTATCTCTAAATAATACAAAGCTAATTCAAATAGGTTTTTTGCTAAGAGAGAACTTGTTTTTGATGAATATCTGTCTCTATAGAAAAATAATCATTTCTAATCACGATCTATACATTCATCCATCCAAAAATTGATTATAGCCCAAAATACATTGGCAAGTAATCTCTGGCTCTTGATTACAATGCTGAAGTACTGTAGCAGAGATGTATAGTACACAGCTACTATATATGCATGTGTATACAAATGTATATATTGAAAACATGTACAGACAAGCTTCGTTGAACAACAGATGGCCATTCCTACAACTAGGTCATTAAATCCTTTGGCCCCTAAGGAAGGAATTGTCCATGGGAGGCACATGCGAGTATTTAGAATAAAGAAATGGTCACAGCACACTGCAACTTGATAGCTTTGCTTTCACTTGTATAACTCTTCCATGCAGTGCTGTGATGTATACAAGGACATGAGACTAGAGCACGGTGCTGTATTGCACAGTATAATCAGCAAAAATTAGAACACTGTGCTGTAGAAGAAGCCACCCTATGCCTGTGTAGCTACTCATGCTCCTGCGCTGTGAGTCGGCATCCAGGTCCTGTGGCCCAGCGGTGGGCAGTAAGTCCACAGAACCAGCCTCAGTGGTCAGTCCGAACGGTTGTTAAGCAAACAGCTCATCAGACAAGGAATATATATGTTTAGAGTTGCTAAGATACAAATAAGAGCCCAGAAGCATGAAATTTCTGTAAGTGTGTAAGTTTACAGTTGTCTGTACGTTTATAGTTGCTAACACAGAAACAGCAACCCAGAATCATGAATCTGGTCTTGAGTTAGTGGTGTTGGGGAAAGGAAGAAGTGGTTGATGAAGAAGGTTCTGGAAAGGTTTTATCAAAGAGTGCTTTCATTGAATCATGAGAAAATGAATAGGAGCTCATGAGGAGTATGGCGTGAAAGAGAAGGAACATTCTAATGGATAGAACGTTAAGTTAGGGCTCGGAGGTGAGGCTGGCATCAGAGTTGGATCCTGAGTTTGTGCTGCTTTAGACAGTTGGGGTCTTTATGCAGATAAATCAAGTGTAGGAAGGCAGGACATGGTGGCAAATGCCTATAACCAAGCACTAGGGAGGCTGAGGCTGGAGGATCTTTGTGAGTTTGAGATAAGCATGGATTACAAAGTGAGTTCAGCCTGAACTGCATAGCAAGACCCTGTCTCAAAAAGATTTTTAAAAAAAAAAAAAGAAGAAGAAGAAGAAGAAAAGAAAAGAAAGTAAAGAAAATCCCCCAGGTACGTAGCTCAGCAGCAAAGAACCTGACTGTCAAGTATGAGGATCTGAGTTTGAATCCAAAGAACAAGAAAACCTCACGTGTAGGTTTCCCCTCAGGAGCCTATGGTGTAGTGTACATAAAGAGAGTTTGAAGGTAGAATAAAGTAATGTAATAGAGAGATAGTGAATCATACTACAGGTATTTGTAAAATGTCAGGATTTAAGTGACAAGTTGACATTTTGGAATTAGATAATATAATAAAGGGGGTTGAAAAGAGTTAGATACAAAAGTGGAAAAGGACCCTACACTCCAGATGCTTCTTTCCCAGCTCTTTGGTTAGCACAGAATTGTAAGTGTCTTCTTAATGAGTCCCGCAAACTGACACTGTTTGCCAAAATCTTCATTATACAGCAATACTGGATGAGCCATTAGTCCAAATTACAACTTGGAATATGCTAAAAGCAATCCATTTAACATAAAATTTCTTGAAATAACAATGTGGCTCATTTATTCTATTAGTAGCCTCCCTCCAAAATACATAAGCTGGCATCGGTACCTCATAATAAGCAGAGCCCATGTAAAGAAAGATCTAGTTATTTTTGCACTATACTATTATTTTGTACAAGTTTTGTATTGTATAAATGAGTAGTAAACCCATATAAACCTATTCTGTGGATTGCATCTCTCTCAGATATATTTATGTACCCGTGATTCATGGAACCAATTGTTATACTTTTTATAGGTTTCCCAATTTCCTTTCCTCCAAGAATGACCTACATCTATAATGTGTTTAGAGAGGCACCATGGCTAGTGATCTTAAATTTCATTCTGGATTTATTTCTGCCTTTTGGAGCTACATAAATTACTTTTGTTCTTAAAGGATTTTTCCATCCTTATTTTCATCTGTAACTAACTAGGTAGAAGTGTGTTTTGTTTTGCATAAGACCAGTGTAACATATATGATACCTGTGATTCGTTTACCCAGGTATTCTATCTTTCTTTCTGCAGAGTATTTAGAACAGAAACAAGAGATAGCATGTCAATTACTTGCTGAGTGGACCAGTGACTAATTTTCTTAGTTGTGTATCCTAGGTCTATGTGCAATATGTTCTATCAACCCTCAGGTAAGCCTTTCATAGTTGTCATGCTGTTTCATTGTGACCATGCCATGGGGCAGCTACAGAGGCTTGAGACACAGCATGGTGCAGCAGGGATCCCTTCCCATCAGGCCTATAAAGAAGAGCAGTCAGTGTCAGTGTTGGGTGGTCTATTTGCCCACTTGTGTACAGAATGCCATCATCTCTTATTTTGTAATTGGGGTGATAATGAAAGACACCAGCGGCCAGGGGGCAGGGGAGTGAGGAAAGGAAAAATGAGGTGGGAGGGGAGGCAGACCATAGAATGAAGAAAAAGCTTGGAATACAGAGCAGAGAAAGGGCACAATTTGTCCAGTCACCAAAGTGGGAATTATCCTTGATTGGGATCTGAGGATTTCCCCAGAGAGGAGCTAGTGACCTCAATTTACCCTACTCACAGGGCAAGTCCTATTCTCTGACTTCTGTTCTAGAAAAACAGTTTCAAGGCCCATTAGTGAGAAGAAGGAAGAGGTTTATTCAGCAGATTTAAGAAGTGTGCACACCGAAA